TAGAGGACAGATCACTGGTGGTGCTCATGGAAGTGACACATAAGGATGTTGAAGAGATGAGGAAATTCCCATGGATTTCAGCATGAGGAGTATTGAGATGAATGAAGGGAACTAGCAGAAAACTGAGTGAAAAGGATGGATCTGAGGACAAGCAGATGACTACACCAAGTAAAGGGTTGTGTTTCTAGCATAAATTTTGTGAAGTGTTTTTAAATGAATACATTAATAATATATAATGAATATGATTAATACATATATTTAAAGACCAGGGGAGTGATAGAAGAAGGTTTATCTATATCATCTAATTTAATCCTTAGAACAACTGACATATTTTGTCCCCATTTTGCGGATGGGGAACAAAAGCTCTGAGCCATTAAAACTTATCCTAATCATAAATCTAGTGCATAGTCAACATTTGAATCTAAGTTTATTTGACTTGATAGCTGACATCTACTCCTCTATAGCACATAGATTTAAAAATTATTACTAACTATTCACTGCTTTGAAGTCAATTAATATTAATATACTATAAATATAAATATTGTGTAGTCAAAAGAGGAAAATGTAGCTGGTTTTCTTTTGTGAATTGCTATGTATTTATTACTCCCAAAACTTGTGCTTTAACACAATGATTTATTATTTCCTATTATTCTGGAAGTTAAGAACTCAGATTTATGTTTCTTGGGGTTTTCTTTTGTTACCTAAGTGAGGACCACTTCCTCGGTTATACTCTACTGGCAGCTGGATGAGGCTGGATAGTTCAAGAGGGTTTCACTTAAATAGCTGGCTTCTTGATGTTCATTTGCATTTATCTCTAGTATTTGGCTATAACTTGAGCTTTGTCATAGTATGGTGATCTCAGGGTCTACAGGCTATTTCTTACATGGCAACTGGCTTCCATGAGAATGAAAGCAGAAGTGCCCTAGTCATCTGGGACCATCAGCATCACTTTTGTCACATTCTATTGGCCAAAGCAAATAAGAAATTCAGCTCACTTTCAAAGGGAAGGGACATCAGTACTGCCTCCTGATCTGAGGAATGACATGCATGCATAGCTAAGAAAAGAACTTATGGCAGCTGTCTCTACACAGGTCAATAACAGTGGGAAAAAACTCCCAACCACCTATATTTACCAAAGTAAATTTTTTATGATTAACCCATTTGGGAAATACCACACTGAGAAAGATTTTATGGAATACTATATCTTATATAAGATCATTGAACCTTCTTATAAACTACCGGTGAGAGTTCAGATTAGAATGAGTTTTCTGGTGGACAGTGTGACAATAATTATTAAAAACTTTAAAAATATATTTATATGCTTTACCTAGAAATATATATAGGGAATATTATATGGGAAATAGTTTATGTGGTAGCATGTTCACTGCATTACTAATAGTGAATGTTTATATATATTTTCAAGATATAATAAACAGTCATATCTGCCCTACTAAATATGATAGTCACTAGCAAATTGTAGGTGCTTAAATTTAACTTGAAATTAATTTAAATTGACTAAAACTAGAACACTTCAGTTTTTAACTAACACAGGCCACATTTCAAGAGCTCAATGTAGGGCAGGGTCTACCTTATGGAATAGAATATAACATAGAACAGTTCCATCAATTCTGAATGATTGATGAATCACTTACACATTATTTAGTAGACAATGGCTGTAAATTTATGAATAGAGAAGTGAAATGTTCAGAAATGAGAAGATTAATTTGCTGGCAGCTGCTAGGCTAGACTAGTGTGGGAGAAATGGCAAGTGGGTACGGTAACTGAAACACTTCTTTATGCAGATCAGGAAATGGGGAATAAGATTTTGAACCAATTGACAATATCAATGGGAATCAGGAGGAAAGTGATACTCTTTAGAGACTAAAACTGGAACTTGCACGCTACACTGAGAAGCTCAAGAGTACAGTTTTCAAAAGTAAATCTATTTTTAAAATGGAGCAGTCCAGAAAGAAAGTGATTACAGTAAAATGCTGGTTCAGATTTTTCTTAGGCAAAGATTTAAGGAGCAGAACTATTATGGCACTAGAGATGGCATCTATTACCATGACCTTTTAGCTGTGTAAGGTATAAACTCACATTCTACCACGTACAGACATTTTTCTGGTTGTTAGACTACACAAAATACCTACTCATATAAGAAAGAATTTAAATGAACACTCTAAAGATGATTATGAATAAAATAACTATTTATAGTAATCAACCTTTCTGATTACTTACCCTTAGAAACCTTTTATAGTTTCTTCCTGGTATTATTAGCATTATCTCTATGTTGATAAAAATCACAATCTTATATTTCATAAACATTGTTGCCTTTTATCAAAAATAATTTAATCAGTTAATAGTTGGAATGAAACTTACAGAATGAATGCTTATATCTAGTTGAATTAAAGTTCTTTGTTAATGTATGACTTTTGATATTTGGATAAGGAGAACTCTGAAAAACAAATTATATTGCATAGCTGATAATGGAGAAAAATATTTATTTATTTATTATTTTATTTTATTTTATTTTACTTGTTTTTTTTCTGCTACCAGGAACTAAACTCACAATCTTACACTTGCCAGGCAGGCACTGTGCTACTGAGCTAAATCCCCAGCCCTGAGAAAAATATTTAAAATGTTCTCAATCATTGAGACACTTGTGATAAGAAATATTTTTAATTGGTGATTTTTCTAAAGAAAGAAAACATATGATATTACATTTGATTACATAGCATTTACTTCCTTGTCCAAATTTCCTGAAAAGGGTGCTAAGTATGCCATTTAATGGTGATAAAATGTATATTTTTTATCCATAATGCTCTGTGGAACCACTTCACAGAACAGAGACTGACTTGAATCTTTGTATCTACCTCTGTTTTATACATGCACACAATACACATATATTTTCACACATGTATATATTTTACATGCATAGTAGTACTACAGAAAGAATTGTACTAGACCACATGTAATTAGCTGTTTGTGGAATACATGAGAAATATTATTAAGAATATATTTGTGTAGAACACACAGCTACTCTAGAAACACATATTGGTCCTATATTGTATATGTTTATGTAATATGATATATAGTATACATTCATTTAATGCAGCACATGTTCATCTTATTCTATTGTAAATTTTATTATATATTCTACATATCTACATAAAGCAGCTACATTGTGCTTATTATGTAGCTGACATTGTTCTAGGTACTCTAAATATATTATACCTTCTTTATCCTTGTATTGCCCTATGCAATTGATACTATTATTATCCTTATTGTATACAAAAATAAACCAAGGCACTGAAAGGGTAGGTAGCTTGCTTAAGGTAAAACATCTATAAGTGGCAGAACATGGATCTGTGTCCATGAAGTCTGGTTCTTGAAAAGGTCCTCTAAAATGCTGTAATAGCACAGACACTTTGTAATATTTGTATTGGATCATGGTATCATCAATCTCTCTGTGTGTCTGTTTTATGTATGTGCATATGGTACATCCATAAAGTCCACATTAGATTTATTTGTTCTCATATATTACAGATTTTTTGGATTTTTCTTAGAATTTAGAACTGGAGAAAACATAATGTACATAATATACTGAGAGAAATAGTGTCATCAGGAGAAGTCTATGCAGCTGATTGTCAGAGAGGTCTGCCAGGTGGCATTTCCTTGCGGAGTTAACTAAGTGCTAGTGCTACTTGGTAAACCTAGATACAACCAGACCTTTGGTAAAGGAAGGGTATCCCAATGTGTTTCTCTGTTACAAATCTTTTCTCCCCTAACCATAGCAATTCGATAGCAACACATTATTTTTTGAAACTAAGGTAACTTTTCCTATTCAGAGAAGCTTAGGTGACTTCATATGAATGCCAGTTCTGGTGTACAGCAGTGTGTGTGTGTGTGTGTGTGTGTGTGTGTGTGTGTTCATGTGTATGTGTGTGTATGTGTAGCAGCAAATATATAACATCTCTGACCTCACTTACTTCATTTATAAAACTGGGTGAATCCTAGTTCTTTGGCTATGATGATGATGAAGTGGGTGAATAGATATAAATGATAATGTCTGTGCCATAACTGCCAGTACTCCTTCAGACGCTGCTAATTATTAGTGCTGAACCTTCAGCATTTACAAATTAATGTCAAACCTGCTGGTTTTGATGAGACACTTTACACGAGTTCCTCAGAACTTCCCACCTTACAGAAGCACATCATTTGTTCAAACAATGTTTTCCTGAAGAGTTGGCTTTGGTGAAATCACAGTAGCACGTTATTCTAGATTTACCTGAAGTTACTATTTGGCAGGTCGCTATGAACTGGCAACTTAGCATACCAGCCCTACAGTTCTACAGTCATTTTGTGAAGTGAATTTTAGAAATGGATTTTGCACAGTTTAACCTAGAGTTCCCTTTTATAGCTGTGGTACAATTTATACTCACTTTTAAGAAAGGAAAAGGTTCACTAAATATTGCCTTGCCGTACATCAAATGCAGTCTCTGGATCTAGACGTATATGTTTGTCTGTTATTAAAATCTGTCACGTTTGCCAATGAAAAATTTTCACGAAGCCTTTTTTACTGCATTCTAGAATTTATGCTTATATTATTTTATCAAATCAGTTGCCATTTACCAAAACTTTGTTTCCTTTTTGTCATGTTTATGATTGGCATTTTTGCAGGCATTCACTGAAAAAATCCATTCTTTCATTACTCAGGTTAATTCCCAAATCACACCCTTTCCAAATGCATTCTTTTACCTGTAAAGTATGTATGTGCATAAAAACATTGTTTTAATATTTAGAAGTTTTAAAATTTCTTGAAGGGAGAAATTATTCCCTTATATTTTATTTTAAGCAACTGCTAACATGAGTCATAACTTACTGAGTTCTGTAAAAGCTTAATTACTGGATAATCTCTAATTGATCACATAGAGAAAGTGGTCATTATTTGAATATACTATGCTTTATGATGCTTGATGATATTTTAAAACCATTTTCAGGATGAAAGTTCAATAGAAAGTGATGAATTTGACATGAGCGATTCAACACGAATGTCAGCTGTGAACTCTGATCTTAGCTCCAATCTTGAGGAAAGAATGCAAAGCCCCCAGACTCTTCATGGCCAGCAAGATGGTAAGCCTTTCAAATCAATTGATCAAACAGACAAATAAACTAAATGATAAAATACATCAATGAGTCAGAATCTATTAAGAATAACCGCCTTAATTCCTGTGTCCATTTTCTAAAATCTGTTTTCTATGTGGATTTTTTGTGTGTACTCAGGTTAAGTCATCCACTTTGTTATTTTTAACTATAAGCACTTTATTCTAAACTAAAATGTGTTAGACTGATTTATAAAAAGATATCAGTTATAAAAACCCAAGAATATCCATGTATTGCTCCCTGAATTTAAAATGTGTTATACCAATGCAGTTAAAGTTTCTGTTTTAATGTTTTCTAGCTTCAGGTTTTTGGGTAAAAAAAAATGGTGACTTTTGACTGAAGAGTTTAAAGATGATTAAAAAATAGTGTGATGATTTAAAGATGATTAAAGATTCATTTGGGTATTTTCCTGTTCCCTGAAAGACTAGATATTGAAGGACAATTTTACCAGAGTGATTTGGCTGAGTAAAAAGATACTTTGCTATGATTTTTCACCTATTTTATTTAGTTCAAAGAAAGGAAAGAAAGATAGTGATTATTTATTCTTTAGTCCACTGAAGATTCCTGAATTATGCAATTTTTTTTTTTTTTTTTTTTTTTTTTTTTTTTTTTTTTGCGGTATGGGGGATTGAACTCAGGACTTTGCGCTTGCCAAGCAGGTGCTTACGCCACTGAGCTATATCCCCAGCCCCTATGCAATGTTTTTTGATAAGAAAGGAGCTGAACAAGACAGACAAAGTAGGCATGGTAGTTGACAATTTAGGTCTAACATTTTCACTGGAAAACTATCTTTGTAGATTTTTGTTTTTATAAGTTGTAAATTATGTATGCAAATGTGTTGTATTTGGCTAACTGTGGATAAAAATTATGCTTATAAAAATGGTTATAATTTCAAATATTACTCTTAAGGGAAAGCACTTTGTCATAGTGGCTTAATATATGCTTTGCTAGTAGGATATATCTAGTTATTTGTTTCTCCAACTTCTGCCTAATTGCTCCCTCACCTGCTGGATGCGTTTTCCTCCTATTTCTCATGAGTTTCTGCTTATCTCTCCTCCTGCATCAAAGGTTTTCCCATTCTTCTGGGAGCAAGTAATTTAAAAACACAAGAATTTATTTCTTATAGTTCTAGAGGCTAAAAGTCCAAGATGTAGGTACTACTAGACTACATCTGGCGAGAGCCTGCTGTCTACTTCCAAAGTGGCACATTGTTGCCATATCCTCCAGAGAGAAGAATATCTCTACCTTTCCTCCAGGGTCCAAGGGCTGGAAGAGAAAGAAGAGGGGCAAACTGACTCTGTCCAGCCCTTTTATCAGAGGACCTAATCCCATTCATAATGAGCCCTCATGACTCAATCATTTGCTGACAGCCACATCTCTTAATATGGTTGTATTTTAAGTTTTAATGTAAATTTGGAGACAAAATCACTCAAACCATGATAGACCCCACATTACCCCTTCATTTGTCATCCCATTTATTTGTGCCACCCCTACAATACAACTTACAGTGAAGCTCATTGAAAGAGTTATCCTTTAGTTTTCCTTCCTTGTCTCTGCTTTCTTTGGTTTGGTTCTAGTAGGCTCTTTCCATCCTTCTTGAGGACAGCACCAGCACGTTGCATGTTGCTACTTCATTGGGCAATCCCTAGTCAGCATCTCCCTTGACACTGATGTTCAAGGAAAACATACCCTGTGTTTCTTGGGGGCTTTCCTTTCTTAGTTTCATAGCCAACTGTGTGAACTCATTTTCACACCAGATTCTGTGGATGTGAGAGACTTACAGAACAGGATTGTGTCTATCTGTGGGTGGGCTACTATCTAGGAGATGACACCAAATCATGTTGTTTTAATACCATCTATAATTATATGAATCCCAAATATACTTCAAGCACTGAGCTCAGGACTCTTTTTTTTTCCTGTTAACGTTCTTAAGAGGACTTAGTACTGGATGCAACTATGTCACTTTTGTTATTTCTGAAACTTTTCTTCTATTACTTTTGTCATTCCTTAGTTGTTCTTGTTGTAGAATAAAAACACCATACTAATTAATATTTCTCATGCTTTTTTCTTTCATTTGCTTCACTTGAGAGAGTTCTTAGATGCTCCCTTATTTAAATGATTTATATTATGTCTTAAGTCTCTTTTCTTTTTACTGGAACACAGTATCCAAACATGCGCATGTTAAAGGAAGATGAGTTTGTTTTGGCTCACAGTTTGTTGAGGTTTCCGTTTGAGGTCCCTGGGCTCCGTAGCATAGCATATGGCAGCAGGGAAGCAGAAAGTGTGGAGTCAGGAAATAAGACTTTCCAGGCCACACCCTCAGTGACCTGCTGTTTTGGACCAGCCTCATCTCTTAGGAGCAAGTCAGCTTTCAGTGCATACAATCCCATCACCTTCCCCTAGCCTTGCTTAGGAGTGCATGAGGCTTTTGGGAGACCATCTAACTATAAACCACAATGCACCATAATTGTGATTTGTAAATAAGTTTCACATATGTCTTTTTTCTCATCTTCTCCCTTATAATGGCACTCTTCTAAGTAACTCGCACTGACAACTTGCTGTATACTTCTTATTTTCCCTTGTATACATACACAGATGCACTTACACACATATTCAGATGACTTTGCCATTGTTTTATAAAAATAATATGTTTTAGATCTGCTTTACTTATCTCACATTTTCTTTTAGAGCTAAGAGATGTATATATAATGATAACAAGAAAATCTTACAGTCCTTGACTACATCTAACCTACAGTCTAAAGGAATAAAAGTAGTTCATCTGACTAATGTGAGAAAATCCATTTCTCTTTAAATAGTAAGAATCTATAGTAATAAAACTCTTAGGCTATGTGTATCATTTTTAGATTAGTAGGGATGTTGTGTGTTAGGCCAAGACTGGCAGGGTCTTATTGCTTTTTGTAAATGGTTTGCATTAGTCTTTGGGAATTGTTAGACGGCAAGGACTTCTGATAGAACAAATCTAATTTTGGGTGAACATCCCAAATGTGGCTTCAATTTAAAGTAGTGTAGGCCAGGGTTTCTCAGTCCTGGCACTATTGACTCATAAGTCTTTGGAGTTTATTTTTTATGGGCAATTCCTGCACATTTGAGGATATTTAGCAACACTTTCACCTCCACTACTGCGTGATAATAGCATCACATCCTCGGGTTGTGACAGCTATGATGTCTCCAGAGATTGCAAATGCCTAGGAGAAAATTATTCTGTGAACAAATGATATAGGCACAGAAGAGTCTGTGTGAAAACCAGCAGGGTGGAGCTTAAAGAGAAACAATGGAGAGAAGTTTAAAAGTAGAAGTTAAAGCAAAGGCTAAGAAGCATTTTCCAATTAACTTTCTATGAGGATGGAAATATTCTGTGATAACCCTATCGAATATGGAAGTTATTATCCACGTGATGGCTATTAAGTGCTTAAAATTTGGTTAGTGTGACTAAGGAACTATTGTAATGTTAATGCCTTATAATTTCAACGATTGCTAATTTAAATTTAAATAACCACATATGACTGATGGCTTTTCTATCAGATTGTGTAGTTCTGGAACACGATTTCATTTTGACTCGATAGTAAATTTCTTTCTCTATAATAAACTGGATATTTTCAAAGTTTTCACATAAATGGTAGAAGAAACTCTTATTTCAATAATTGGCATAATCTACTTAGTGTATCAAAAATCTGAAAATAATGCAATTTTGAAATTTTATGTTAAAATGTTCTATTTTCTCTAACAATAAATTGATTAGTTTAAAATCTTTAAATAAGTTTAAGTAGTGTGTTGTGATTTTTTAGAAATCCTTTCACATGACTAAACTATGACACAACTAAATGCAAATAATGTCTTTATTGGGTATCATATAAAATGGTAAAGAAAACGCTGTTTTTACATTTTTTACTTCAGGATTCTAATGAAAGATTTGCACTCTATTCACCAAATACCAAAGGATATCATGTACAGTCGGGGGGGTGGGGGGAGGAGGAAAAAGGGAGAATTCCCTGCCCTAGCCTGGATAACTACATAATGTTCAAGGCATAAACCAGAATGAAAAATTTCTAAGAAGAATGTTACAAAATTACCCTATGGTATTTAGCTTGTTTGACTTATTTTAAGTTCATATCACTTCCCTAACTCAATAAAATCAAAGATGAAAATACATAGACACTCAAATCTTCAGATAGGTAGCATTTTCTCATCAGTTTTGGTTTAGAAGAAAATATATTACAGTGTGTAATTTTTAATAGGTGTGAAAACATCTTTTGGTGAAAATCACTGTGAGCGTGTGTACATTTGATTTACTCATAAAAGCGTATGATCTTTCAAAGTATCATGAAATGGAGTTTATGGAACTTATTGGCAAGAAAACTTGGTTGTAGAATGGCTGTCATTCACAGAATTTCAAACAAGCATCCCCAATTTTAATGGCCCAAAGTATCCTGTATTTAAATAGTGACCAATTGGTGTACAGCACTGTCCTACCATCCACTTAAGAGATTAAGGGTAGAAATGTTAGTGGCTGTGGATTTAGCTCAGCGGCAAAGCGCCTGCCTGGCAAGTGCTAAGTTGTGAGTTTGGTTCCCGGTACCGGAGAAAAACCAAAGAGTAGGAATGTTTTCACTTATGTTTCTTCCTTTAAATCTCTATTCCTAAAAATTTGTGGTAGCATGGACTAGCTCAAAACAATATTCCCTTCTCTTAATCAATTATTTATTTTATACTAAATGTTTGTTTACCTTCTAATAACAGCTCATCTGGTTGTTATTTATTGTCTCAGTATATCAGGCAAAAGAAAAGTGTCAAATTTAAAAACAGCTTTAAAATTGCAGTTCAAAATAAGCATTTTATTTCATTTTGGGAGAATACAATTTTCTAAGAACTAATTTAATTATTTTTCTCAGTTAATATTATACTATAAACTACTGATATTTTTAAGAGAATATTTTTGCTATATTAAACTG